AAAAAAAAAAAAAAAAAAAACCAAACAACCCAATTAAAAAGAAATGGGGCACGGAATTAAACAGAGAACTGTCAAAAGATAAAGTTCAAATGGCCTGGAAACATTAAAAAAAAAAAACTCCTTAGCATTCACAGAGAAGTGAAAATTAAAACTACTTTGAGTTTTCATCTTACCCAGTCAGAATGACTAAGATTAAAAAAAAAAAAAAAAAGACAATAAATGCTGGTGTGGATGTGGAAAAAGGGAACACTTGATTTACTGTTGGTGGTAGTGAAAATTGCTACCACCACCATGGAAACCAGTGTGGCAGTTCCTCAAACAGCTAGAAATAGATTAATACATAATACAGCTATATCATTCTTGGTCATACACCCAAGGGACGCTATGTTTTACTACAGAGAACTACATCCATGTTCATTGCCATTCTGTTTATGACAGCTAGGAATTGGAAACAACCTAGATATTCATCATATCCACGGATGGATAATGAAAACGTGTTACATTCACACAATGGAATCATTCAGTTGTTAAGAAAAAATGAAATTATGAAATTCATGTGTAAATGGAAACAATGTAATACATATGTATGTTGTATAAATCGTTCTGAGTGAGATAGCCTAGACCCAGAAGGACAAATGTTATATTTTTTTCCTCATATGTGGATGTTTAGCATTGAATCTCCAAATATGTGTGCTCCATTTGAAATACCCATAGAGGTCAGAAAATTTGCAAGGAGCCGTGGCAGGGAGCTTTCAAGAGAGATAGAACACAGTGATATAGGGGGTTAATGGAATAGGAAGGGTTAAATTAGGGTTGGGGGATGGGAGGACGGGGTAGAGGACTGACTGCTAACCAGGAGGGCTCTGAGAGCAAGGCCAGCAATGACACTTGAGTGTCCCATAGTGGACTTCATGCGCCCTCTGGTGGCCATCTTTATTTTCGCAAATTCTGAGCTGGGATGACGCTTCGGGGGCGGGGCTCAAGGGCCCCTCCTCCCCAAGTGCGCAAACAGCGGCTGGTACTTTGAGAAGGAGCATGAGGAAATGCTTTCTGGGTGAAAAAAGCGGGTGAGCCCGGCCTGCGGCTGTTGGTGACTGAGAGAGTGTGGTTGTCCCAGACGGCTGCCATCAATCATAGTGTCCCGTGATGTAGCCACGTTGAGAATGCGGCCCTTCTACTCTGTCTACTTGCATCATGTACTTCTCAGCCAGGAAGGGACACTGTTCCAGCTGTCCTTCCTCAACCAGGATGCTGGATCCTGCAGATGAGGGAGGAATGCAGTTTGCTGGGCCCGGGCCCTCAGAGGACTGCTTCAGAGTAAGGATCAAGTCAGACTCTGGCTTTTTTTTTTTAAGATTTATTCTTATTTTACGTATGTGAGTGTTTTGCCTGCATGTATGTATGTGCATCAAGTGTGTGCCTGGTGTCCACAGAATTCAGAAGAGGGCATGAGTTTCCCTCACTATGAGTCAGGGATGGTTGTGGGCTGTCAGGTGGGTGCTGGGAACTGAACTGGGTCCTCTGCAAGAGCAAGTGCTCTTAGCTGCTGAGCCCTCTCAGTACCACCCCTCCCCCATTCCTCCAGTTTAAAGATTCAATTTCTAGGTCAGAGTCAAGGGAAGAGACAGAGGACAGAGGACAAACCTGTCCTTGTCATTTGAGAGGACAAAGCCAATGTGTGCATGTGTGAATTCCTCCCTCGTGTATAGGGACTTGTGTGCATGCCTGCATGTGTGTGTGTTCGCGTGCTTATGTTCATGAGTTCGCACAGGCACATACGAGCATGCTTGCACACATGTGAGTGGCCTATGTTGGTGTATTGGACTAGGGAGAGGCCTCTTATCTGCTCTTTCTCCTTGCAGACACAGAAGAACAGGGACTATCAAGCTTCTCAGAGTTTTATACAGGTGTCTGAGTTGTGAAAAATGCAGAAAGTGACAAAAAGAGAAAATGCCATATTTTCTATATAAATATATATAGAAAATACAAATACTATATGTGGGTGAATATAACACCTTGACATGGAAATGAGTCCATTGAAGCTCAGCCGTGTGTCTACACAGTTAAATACAAAATGTGCCTTTATGGGACCTGAGTGTTCTGGAATATGTTCAATATGGTATGATGTGGCCAGAGAGTCCAGAGGAATGAATGTCTCTGCCCCTTGTAGTGAGTCAGGGACATAGGCCAGGGTTCCGAGTGACTACCCTGATGTGGGCGTTTACTCAAGGTGTCCCACATTCCTCTGATTGGAATTGTGTGCGGCAGCTTGGGGTTAGGGTGAGCTCCTGCTGCCCCAGGTCGTGATTTTGTACAAATTATCCAATTCTCTTTATTTCCATCTTTTACTGGCGGTTGGAATCGGGACTAGGTTTTTCCAGGTTCTTGGCAACTTATTCAGAGAATTGAAAATCAGGGCTCACACAGATTTGCAAAAGAAGCAAAGAAAGTTTGCCTGGAGCAAAGAAAGCATTAACACAGATTATGCAGGAATACACTGTCGGGAGTGTCAGCTGGGCATGTAAGTGAGAGAACAGTGTAACATGAATCTAAGGTCTTATAATTAAAAAAAAAACAAACAAAAAAAAACCCAGAGCCAGATATTGGGGTGAAAGCTGAAAGATCAGAGAAGCAGAACAAGCCAGCCACTGGCTTACCTCTATGAAATCCTCAGCCTCAAGAGAGTGAGTTCCTGTTTCCTTATGCCTTATATACCTTTCTGGATCCTGCCATATTACTTCCTGGGATTAAAGGTGTGTGTGCTTTCCAGCACTGAGATTAAAGGTGTGAGCCACCACTACCTGTTTCTGTTTCCAGTGTGGCCTTGAACTCACAGAGATCCAGATGGCTCTCTGCCTCCTGAGTGATAGGATTAAGGGTGTGTGCCACCACTGTCTGGCCTCTATGTCTAATCTAGTGGCTGGCTCTGTCCTCTGATCCTCAGGTAAATTTATTAGGGTACACAATATATCACTACAGAAGTCAGAGGTATACACTGTCAGGGCCATCAGCCGGCTGCATAAGAACTCAGTTTCCTTTTATGAGATTCAAGATGGGAAGAGGTTGGTTATTAAGGGGTATAGTTTGGGTAGTTTTCTATTTTGGTTGATAGATTAGGTCATTTATTTTCTACTGTACTTGTTTGTCCTTTTCCCAGTGCATCTGGTTTTTAATCAAGGACGTACCTGATTATGCAAAGGCATAGGCTTGAGACAGTAAAAAAGGATTCTCCCTAAAAGTTTAGTAGAGGACACAATTTGTCTTACAGTTGAGGCTGGATCAGTCCTTCTGTTTTTCATACTAGAATATGTTGGATAGAACAGAATAGAAACTTGAATAGAAACTGCCTAAATCAGATTGTTGTAAGGGACAGGGAAACTCATACTATTGTTCAGAGATGGGAGTATGTGTGCCTGATGCGGAGGTCGGGGGATAAGAGGGTTCTGAGGTTGCCAGGTTCATGGTTTGGAGAGGAGTGTGTGTACATAGCATGTGCAGGTAAGGGAACTGGGCCGCCAAGGGAATGATTGAAAGAAGAAAGTGTGCACAGCCCCAGACAGATAGGGTCCCAGGGTCCTAAAGTACCTGCCTCCAGTCTACTGGAAAAGTCATGAATATGCAAAGCCATCAAGTAGTGGGAATGGGACCCCCACACCCAGCTGCTGCAGTACGCCATTCACACAATTTGACTAGGCCAGAGTCACTCATGGGTGGAGTCACGGACATCAATCTCACCCCCAAACGTATGCAGGGTGACATACAGACACGGTTCATTGTAGTCGAGTGAGGTACTTTCATTTAAAAATAGGAGCAGAAAATGAGGCATAGGAGCAGAAGGGTGGAGCGGAGAGAATTAGTGCTGGACCGTCATTAAGTGGGTGGCTGCCTTGCAGAAGAAAGAGCCTCCCAGTTGGGGAAAGCAGAGCTGTGATTAGGCCCGCAGGGGGCTGGTGTGCTTCCTGGAGCTGGCTGGCTTGGCTAGAATTCTTGTTCTGTCTGGGGATTGTCGTTAGCCATCCTTTAACAAGGCCTGCTCTAGGTGGTGGAGCTTACATGGAACTCCACATGGGGGAAGAACACTTAGTGAGCGAGGGAAGGAACTTAGCCTCTCCTATTCTGGCTATTGGTGAATTCTGAAATCCGGGCATTTTCCTTTCTAACCACTGCCATTTTCCAGTTGAGGTCATCACCAGCTGTCACCTGGCCTACCCTGGTATTCTCTCTGCTCAACTTCATGCTCGCCTCTTTCTTCTTCCCCACCCCATAGAAGAAGACAGGATAGTCTTTGTCAACCTCAAACTCGATCCTGCTCCTCTGCTCTGCCTTCACTTTGGGGTGACGGCAGCCTGTCCTCAGTGTGACACCCAAGTTCCTTCTGCAGCTCATGAGGTAGCAGATGACCTCACCTGACCTCTGTGGCTTTATCTGTTCTCACTGCTCTCCTCCCTGGGTTTACTGGCTTCCGGACCCAGCCTGAAAAGTCACAAAATCTCTCTTCAGTCACGTGTAAGTCAGATGTCCAGTAGCTATCCTCAACCCTGACCTCTTCCTCACTCATTACTAATACCCAGCCCCAGTGTGGTCCTGGGGTTGAAGGCAGAGGGACAGAGCAGCTACTGTGCTGCTATAATAATCCTCAAAGCATGCGTTATATTATACACTTCACAGTAGCCGTGTTCGAGGCCAGGGAGGCGGCTCAGCAGATGCTTGCGGTTAAGCCTGATGACCCGAGTTCAGTCCCCCAGGTAAAAATGGTAGAAGTAGCCGGGTGGTGGTGGTGCACGCCTTTAATCCCAGCACTCGGGAGGCAGAGGCAGGCGGATCTCTGTGAGTTCTAGGCCAGCCAGGGCTACACAGAGAAACCCTGTCTCAAAATACTTAAAAAAAAAAAAAAAAAAAAAAGTAGAAGTAGAGAACCAGCTCCTAAAAATTATCCCCTGCATGTAAGCTGCAGCATACGCATTCCCCTCTCCCACTAAAATAAAATGTAATGAAGATGTTAAAATTCTTCATTTGTTGGCACCATACAGAGCTGATGACCCCTGGCACTCTGGGTGTTCGCGCTGTGCAGTATTTGACCAGGATCAAGTGAAGTACGGGAAGAAGCTGAAATCTAAAGTCATTGTTTATACTTTGGGAGCCTCCTGGAGATCTGCTGGGTAATTACACCTCCTCCAAGTCCTGGGATATCTAATGATAGCTTGGTGTGTGCTGGCTTTGCTGTTCCTGGTGGCAGTGGTCCATGTGGGAGGTCCATGTAAGAGGTGGCTTAAAGCCACCCCAGGGTATTGTTTAGATTTTCACCCAGGAAATAGCCTGGGGACTGGGGAAGGGGAGACCAAGGCACTTACTTGATCCTTCCCAGGGCTGGCCTCCCAGGCTTCTAAGGATCTGCCAGGTAGCAGATAAGCGCCATTTTGAAGCTTAAGGCCACCACTAGGTGGCCTCGCTCAGGTAATATTGCCTGCCCTCTGCTTAGGGCCTTCAAAATTGGGACATACCCATTTTTCTCAGTTCCTAGGAAGAAGAGGAGCCTGGGGTACATGCAGGGTTAGTCCCAGGGCCCAATGGAAAGACATGTCCTATAGATATGTATGCATGTGTATATGTAATATACACATACATACATACCTGCATGCATACATACATACACACGTTAGATATGTATCAATAGATACAGTGCTCTCTGTGCGTCATGGCTTGGCTCAGGAGGGAATGACCTGGGAAATGCCATCCGAGACCAGAAGTTTGTAAACTCCGTCTAGACCTATAACTGCTGCAGTATTTGCCAAGGCCTCAGCCACCAGCAGCTAAGGAGGCTTCAGTGCTGAGACCCCAGCTCGCCTGCTCCCCTTGCCCAGGATAGGAACCACAGGCAAGTGGAGGCAGTAGAGGCTGAGGAGGCCCTGTTTAGAGGAAAGGACTGCACGCCCAACCGACTGCTCACTCATCCAGTCCTCTATTTGCCCAGCACAGTTTCTTGCTTCCCCTTGTGGTAACACTAGGTCTTTCCCTAGGGGGAGGAGAGGGAGGGGGAGGACAAGTCAAGGAGCCCTTGGTCAGGGATGTCACCTAGGGACAGGGAAGTCCATGGGAGATGGTGATTTCCTTTCCCGAGACAGAAGAAATGTTGGAGCAGAAGCAGTCTGGGTGGTGTGGGGTGCTGTGCGATGTTTCACTTCATCCATACCCATGGCCGGGGAGTCCTTGTAAGGGACTTCCCTTTGACATTGCAACATGACACTGTCACCTGCAAATCTGCAAGTTACTCAAGAACCGAACAGTTGAGTTAACACACACACACATACACACACACACACACACACACACACACACACACACACACACACAAGCTTTCATGTTTTAAGTAAGTTTCCAATTTTGTGTTGGGTTGAAATCATAGGTCTCTTTGGCCTCATGTGGCCCAAGGGCCACGGGTTGGGCACATTTGCACCAGCAAATGTGTTCTATCAGCAGAACTTACATACAGAGGGGTCAGCAGGGCACACTCATGGCAGACAACAATAGGAAGCTTTCTACCTTGGTATGTCTGTAGCGAGGGTATCAGGGTATGGGGTTTCTATAAAAGGAAATTGGCGCAGACCTGTGCCTAATTCCTTTCAGTGTTTTGGGCAACAACTTAAGTACTTTTATTAGTGCCAGGAATGTTAAGGCCCCAGCTCAAGTTCAAGTGCGCAGGTGAAAGCACCCGGCTGGTTGCATCACAAAGTAGCCGAGGCACTTTGTACTGCTCGGGAGAGGGAAGAAAGTAGAGGGATTACTGGATTATTGGCTGTGAAGAAAAGGCTATGACCAAACTCAAATTAGAAGATAGAGTGAAATAATAAAGATCAGGACAGAAATCAGTGAAATGAAGACAGTATTAGTTACCTTTCTGTTGCTGTGATTAAACGCCATGACCAAGGCAACTTCTATAAGGAAGAGTTTATTTAGACTTAGGGTTCCAGAGGGATGAGAGTCCATCATGGCAGGGAGGCATGGCAGCAGGCGCAGGGGAGCTGAGCGCTCACACCCTCAGACACAAGCACAATCAGAAAGAGCAAGCAGGAAGTAGCTGTGTCATCTGAAAGTCCGCCTCCAGTGACACACTTCCTCCAGCAAGTCAGCGCCACATACCCCTCCCCAAACAGTGCTACGACCTGGGGGCCGAGAACTCAAATGCCTGAGACTATGACGCTAGAGAACAACAGAGAGGATCAATAAAACAAAGAGCGGGTTAGCTGTGTTAGCATCCTAACCAAAGAGAGAGGATGCAAATTAATAAAACTAGAGCTGAGGAAGGAGATATTAACATACACGTCTACTACCACTGAAAGCCGGAGGATCTCTGGGGAGCATTCTGAACGCTTGAATTTTACCAAAGTGGAAAGTCTCCTAGAAGCACATTCCTAGACACATATGAATTGCTGTGTTGTTTAGTGTTCATTACCAACTTGATGGAATTTACACTCACTTAGGAGATACAGCTCTGGGTGTGTCTTGGCGAGCACCCCCAGAAAAGCCTAACTGAGGACCCTCTCTGGATGTGAACAGGGTCGTCTCACGGGCTGGGGTCCTGGGATGAAGAAAAAGGAAGAGAGGAGAAAGAGAGCTGAGCACCAGTGCCCATCTCTACCTGCTTCCTGGCTGTGGACACCATGTGACCAGCCCCCTTTGCCTCCATGACTTCCTGCCAGGACAGCTTGTCCCTTCAAACTGTGAACCAAAACAGAACTTGCTTTCCTACAGCTGCTTTTGTGAGGTATTTTATTACAGCAACAAAGAAAGTAACTAACAGACACACTAGCAGTGAGCCAAGAGCATCTAAACAACCTCAACAAATAAATAAATAAATATCAATAATATTAGCGCAGTAACACAAAGTATGCCAGCAAAGAAAAGTCTGGGACCTGATGGCTTCACTAAACTCTCCCAGACTTTCAAAGAACTGATACCAATGCCACTCAGATTGTTCTATAAATCAGGAAAGAGCACTTTCAAATCATTCTATAACTTCTTATTGCCCTGATACCGTAGCTGGATAAAGGTAAAAGCAACAAAAGAAAACTATTCCCCAATTTCCTTCAGGAACACAGATGCAAAATCCCTCAATCAAGTATTTGCAAACTGAATTAAACAATGTATTGAAAAGAGCATCCACCACGTGAGGGTGATTTAACATGGGTAGAACAATAAACATGATATGGTACCCTAGTTTGGAGCTGTTGTAGAGCGAGGAAGGCTTGAGAGGCAGATCAAGAAGATAGCTTTTTTGGTTGGCTGAGGAGAGATGCGCAGTAGGTGGTGGGGTGAGATGGGGGTATGTTTCCATAGCCATGGCTTGAAGGTATTTATAGGCCGATGGGAAAGATCCCACGGAGAGGAGGAGGATGATCTCCCAAGAGAGAAGGGGAAGGGCATGGGAAGATCTGGGCAGACTACTTTCTGTGGCACAGCAGACGCGGGAAGGTTTGTGTTTGGCTTCATCTTCACCAGCTCTGGCTGGTGGCTGACACAGACACGGAGAGCGGCTGAGTGGCGTTTTCTGAGTTGTGTTTTGGTGTGTCTGTCTTTCCCAGTCTGGGCTGTCCGCCTGGCCCGTGCCGTTATAGGGAATCCAAACCCAGCTCCAGGCGCAGTCCCCAGGCTGGGCATCTCCGTTCTGGGCTCTGCTCCCTGATGAGATTCTCAGACTGCTTCCCCTCATTCATGAAGAGGCAAGCTCACAGGGCAGGCGTGGGAACCTGTTCGGCCGCCAGGGCATCCTTCAGTTCAGACTGAGGTCGGCTGCTTCCCTTTCTTCTTGGCTGTCTGTCTCTCAGACCCGGCGTGCTGGCTGAGGTGTCCAATCTCTTTCGCCCGTGTGATAAGCCATAGGTTGGCTCCAGGATGCTCCAGGCTGTGGCAACTTCTTCACCTCACATGGCCAGAAAAGTCCTAGCCGGGCCAGCTCCAGCCCCTCAGAGATGCAGCTAGGCTTTGGGGATGGGTCGTCTGCATTGAGCGCATCTCAGACCCTCTTCTTCCTATAGCCTGTCCCCTCCTGGGACACTCAGTTCCCGTCCTCAGTGACGCCATCCTCCTGCAATCTGCGGGTTGTGATGGATGTGGGGGTGGTAGGACCACCGAGGACGTGGGCAGGCGGGGGTGTGTCTGGGGCCTGGGGATGGCTGGGCTGGGCATGTCGCTCCTCGTGCGGGGTCCCACGCGGCACAGGGAGGCGGGCACCGCATACGTGCAGCGCGTGGCGGGCAGCTCGGGCCTTTCCCGGAGGCTGCAGTGGCTCGGAGCCAGGCCCAGGCGGGCCCGGGGGGCGGGAGGTGGGGACGTGGCGGAGGCTCAAGCGGGCGGAGCCTCGGACGAGGGAGGAGCCGAGCGCGCCGGGGCGACGCCGCGGGAGGTTCTAGAAACGCCGGCTGCCGCGCGTGTCCAGGTGAGCGCGGGGCTGCGGGGTCGCCCGCGGGGCTGGGCTCGGGTCCGGGTGGCTGGGCGGTGCGACCTGCCCTGCGCGGAGCCGGGAGCTGAATCCGGGGTCACGCAGCCCCGCGCCCCGTGCCCCGCGCCCTGATTCCGCACCCGCCTCGGTTCCTGTCCCGCCCGCGTCCCGTCCTAGGGTCAGGGCGGTGTGATCGGCGGCGCCCTTCCTGCCCGTGCGGCTCGGCCGGGCCGGACACTTGGCTGGCTTGTCGGATCAGGCTCCCGGGAAGGGGCGGCCTGACCCCAGGGTCGTCCCCGATCTAAAGCGGAGGCGCCCTCCTGGCCCCGGAGGGGACGCTGCTTAGGGTGAGGGAGACCTGCTCCTCTGGCTCCCAAGCCTGGCAGGGACCAGCTTGGCGCCTGCTAGTTTTATGCTCTGTTATATCAGAAAGCCTCCTCCTATCTGCCAGACATCCCTGTCGAACCTCTGATGTTTTCCCTCAGTAGTTGCGGAGACCCGTGGTGATTTGGTGACCGATTCAACAAACAGCTTTCCGTGTGCCCGGAGACTGCAAGGACAGAAGCGGACAGAGGGAAGAAGACTCAGAAAGTTCAGGTCCAGAGCAGCAGCAAGGTAGGTATTGGGTTGGTAGGGAACTTGGGCTGTGAGGACTTGGTGAATGTCTGGATGCCTCAGGGCAGGGGGCAGGAGCGTCTGTGGACTGGAGTGGTCCCTTAGGAACCTGGACTGAGGAAGCACCCGAGTGGCCACAGACTCGGGCTAGTATCATCTTTGTGGTACTCTAGTGGAAGCAAGGTGATGGGGGAACGGCTGATGTAGGGAGCAGTCGTCCTAGGGCCCCACCCACCAAGGAGTGAGAAACCTGCATGTGGAGGAGTCCATGGAACCGATGAAACATGGACATGGGTCAGAGTACTTCTGTCCCGGGTGGACACTGGGTGGACACAAGTGGGTGCGTCTGTCATCTGTGTTCTAATGTAACATGTACTATGCTGTCAGAGAGCTCCTGAGACGGCCCCCTCACCCCACAGTTTAATCACACTTTAAGGCTTGCGCTTGATGCAGACCACCTGGTTACTGACATCGTAGCCCTCCTGTTGGAAGGGCTTCCTGGTCCTAACAGCAGGGGCTGGGTCACCACTATGTAGCTTATGGCACCCTCAAATGCCCTAGGCTTTGAATGGATAGGGTGCTAGCTCAGAACGAGTAGGGGACTTTTGCCAGCCGTTGCTTGTTCTGAGTTGATATCCCACCTGCGTTGGTATCTTGGTTGAGTTCTTTGTTAAAGTGACCAGGGTTTCCTCTGACTTGTACCTCAGCTGCCTCTGAAGCGTCCAGGGTGTAGTCTCTCACCATGATTTTGTGCCTCAAGGCCCAGCCCCTCGGCTCCTCTCCATGCACAGGATGTTTGACCTCTGGATTCTTTTCTTCTGGGGCCTTCTTGTTCTCACACGGCCAAGCTCGTCCACTGTGTGGCCCAGCCAGTGAAGACACGTCGCAAGGACGGAGTTGGCTGGAGGCCGTATCCCGAAGATTCTGTCATACTAACCCTCCTTAGCGCTTGGAGAGCTCATCAGGCTGATGTGGTGACGACTCACTGAGACATTGTGTGTCGCCTTTGATGTTCCGTCTACGTTGTCACAGGCTCTGCTGTGACTTACTTATCTGTAGATTGGACTGCCCACAATGGATTGTGGGTCATTCCTTGAACAGTGTATGCTTGGTATCTGGCTAGAACGTGCCTGGGACTAGCTAGAATGAGGGAGAAGGAAGAGGAGGTGGAGGAGGCATTCTTTTTGCCCATAGGCAGCTCCTCATCTCTCTGAGATTGCTGTTTAGCACTGGCAACCGGCCTTGGCCCAGGGAGGGGCCCTGCATGTGGGTGCTCATCAGAGGGAGACTGGGTACATGCAACTCTGGGGAATGAGTGGAGAGAGGGAATTGAGGGTTTCCTCATCTCCTGAGAAAGCTTCCCTTTTTGACTGCACCCTCCCACATCCTTGGGAGGGTTTGAGGCTGGACGAAAGGCCTTGGCTGACTTATGGCCACGCTGGCTGATAGTGTGCAGAGGACTGGGAGGTGTGTCCCTGGCTTCTGGGATCTGTCAAGAGCTTAATTTTATGCAGATGGAGGTTGGCAGCAAATGCTGTAATGCAGGCACGTGAGAGACCAGTGGAGTCCTGGATAGGAGTTGGTCTTTGAAAACGTCATTCAAATCTAGTCCTTTAGACCTTGGAAGTGCCTGAGGGTGGGACACGGGCCTATCCCAGAGAAGAGCGGACTTTCGAGTCCTGTGGTCTGTGGGTTTTGTGCTGGGGACATGGAGTGAGGGGTAGACAGACAGTTTTTCTTCTCAGTGAGAGCAGAGCAGGATGAAAAGGTCTGGGCTGGACTTCTTAGGGGAAGAGGGTTTTGTTCAGCTGGTACCACTGCAGAGCAGAGGATTAAGTGTTGGATAGTGATTTCCCTGGCTCTGATAGGACCTGTATGAGCCTGGTCCCGGCCAGCCTCTGCTCCAGACTTCTTGGGAAGTGTTTGCTAGAGATGGTCTGCTCTGTACCTGGCACTCCTGGGAGCCAGGGCATGATGGAGACCCCAAGACTCGTACTCTGAGGAGCCTGGAATGAGCAGGTCAGTACAGACAGAGAAGAGATTCTGGAGTATTGGTTCTGCTCCCTGCATTTTGCCAGGGAACTTTCCTTGGGGGGCTTTAGGGCCTGTGATTGGATAATTCCAGGGTCACCTCCGAGTGCTGTGTACTAGGTGACATCTGATTCCGGCCTCTTCCTGAGTTGTATGTGTCGTGTCTTCTGGCATTCCTGGGCTGCAGACATCACTCACCCTCTGGTGTTCCCTGGTGTCTGGCATCTTCATTGCCCCCGTCAGAGGAACCTTCCTCACTCCAAGAGCAGCTAACCGGAGCTGAGCAATGTAGCTGGAGTTTTCTTTCCGGGTTCCACTTGAGGGCCCCTCGAATTCCTGTGATTCTCTTGGTGCTGAGGATTGGTCAAAATCAGCCCAGTGATTGGCAGCTTGCCGATACCTGTCATCAAATTCAGTTCACAGACAGGCTTATCACGTGTAGAACGTGGTATGATCTCCATCGTAGAAATAAGAAAATTAAGGATCAGGAAGCCTAGGACTTGTTCAAGGTCACAAAGCCAGGAAATGACAGTTGGAGCTGGAATTGAACTCTGGATCTTTCCTACCCCCGGGCAGGTATACCTACCTGCTCCTAGGCTGTCAGAGCTGGCCTGGCTGATACTGTGTCCAGTAGAAATGATGACCCACTTGAATTCAGGGAACTGTGCCGTTATTTTTTGTCCATGGGCTCTCCTTTTCCTGGTGGGCTCCAACTAGATGTCATGGGCTTTATTTGTGAATCTTTGAGACACCCATGAGAAAGTCTTCAATCTGAGCAGAGTGTGACTTCCCACTTTCAGGAAGGCACATGTACTGTGACGTGACATGCGTGAGGTTAGATGGTATCGGGGTCTGGCAGACAGGGGGCTTAGTTGGGGGGGTTTCGCTTGCTGACATATGTCAGGTGTCTGGAGAGGCGTCCCCAGCTCAGCGATCTTTCTCAGGTCTTGTACACTGCTCGGTACCTCCTTATTCCCGATTTCACTCTTTAGCTTTCATCGTCCACGGTCAACCACAGTCTAAAGCATGTGTTGGAAAATAATAGAAATAAAGAACTGTGAGCCCCTCTAAGCCCTGTGATGGAATCTGTGCCACTCTATGCTGGTCTTCGCAGGGTATCACTCCTTTGTTTAGTGTATCCATGCTGGATACACTGCCCATTGTGAGACTCTGCAGCCTTCGTAGTCAGTTGCTTATCAGGTTGACTGTGTGGTATGAACAGGGATTGCGCTCAAGTAACCTATGGAACCGTGGCCCCAGCATGCAAGAGTAGCAAGACCAGCAATTGCATTTCAGTAAATTGTTACAGTTATTCTGTTTTGTTCTGTTGATAAGCTCTCATTGTGTGTAATTTGTAAATTAAATTTTATCATAGGAATGTACTCACAGAGAAACCAGCATATACAGAGTTTGATACTATCTGTGGTTTTAGGCATGCACTGGGGTTCTTGGAATGTTTCCTCCGTGGACCAGGCAGGAGTATTGTATCTGAAGCAGAGATGATTATCTGGCTTACAAGGTTTTTGTGAGAATTAGATGGTAGAAATGAAAGATCTTTGGAAACATAAACCATGGTTATCTTAGACTGGGTTCCCAGAAAACAGAGCCCGAGGCAGAGCTTAAGTGCTTAATGCTTATTGAAAAGTGTATTGCGGGGCAGCCGGGGTGAGGGGGAAGGAGAGAAGAATGGGAAACGAGGAGGTGGTACCTTAGCAAGCGGGTCCCTCTTTATGGAGATCCGCTAGCTCTTCAGCCATTTCAGACCTACTTCTGTGTGCAAGCTCCGTGCCGATGGACGATTTCTTACAGAAGGTATTTATTTGAAGGAAGTATCTGCATTTCTTACAGAAGGTATTTGAAGGAAGTATCTGCTGACTCCCTCTTGTATTTTATTTTTCATCAGCCAGAGTTACCTAATGGGAAGTTAACTTTCCCGAACTGCTCAGTGTGGTTCTTCTGGAGCCACTTGAGAGGCTAGCCTGGAGGTAGTGGAAGGAACCAGAGAATCTGGTTTGGGTCAGCAGTGTCTTCTATCTGACTAAGTCAGAATAGAAAGTTTGGAGCCTAGGGCATGGGTATGGGGCAGCATGGATGCCTTTTATCTTCTGGTGCAGTTTTGTTTTGTTTTTTTTGGTGCACACACAAGTTAAGTTCAACTAGACCATTTGTGGAGGCCCTCATGGGAAGCCAGCTCAGTGTTGGCATGTGGACCTTGGCAGCTTCTCTGCTGCTGCGCTGTCTTGTTACTGAAGCAGGAGGTGCTGGCTTTGATGGCTCCCTGCATCCATGGACTGAATAGAGGTGATGTGAAGGACAGATACACTTTACCTGACACACGTGTCCTTGTCAGGCCCACTGAGCTTCCACATCCCCTGACGACAGTGGTGAGACCACAGACCTAAGGCCAGAGAGTTCCATGACTGACGGTTTTATGTGCTTTCTTGAATGGACACAGAGATGGGACTTGGGAGGACTCTTGGGAGAGGGGAGGACATTTGGTTTCACTGAGCAGAGATCTGGCTTTCGCGAGGTTCTTGGTGAAGGTAAATATTTTTTATGTGAAGTCATTGAAGGTTTGAGGTCTGCGGGGGTGCAGTGAGGCTGGAGGGAGTAACGGGCCCAACTCGCAGAGCTCCAAGGGCCCTTTGGGCTAAGGCATTTGGACAGTGTCTTTCTGGGAGTAGGAGCCAAAGGGAGGGCTTCGGCAAGCCCTGCTGGCTGCTCTGTAGAACAGAGTTGGAGAGAAGCCCGTGCAGAGGTGGAGAGGTCCGAGCAGGTGGGGCCTGCATGGCTGAAGGGTATGCTGGAGGTAGATCAGGGTGATGGCTGAGGGATGATGTCTGGTATGGAGACCTGGGTGCACTTCTGAGCCAGTACGGACATCCCTGTGCTTCAGTGGTGGGACCTCTTGGATCCTGTGCACAGCCCCTCCTTGGTTGAGTACCTGGGTCCTGTCAGCTCTGCCAGCCTAGAGTTAGCCATTGTGTGGCAGGCAGGACCATGGTGGGAAAGGGGGGTTAAAGAACCCTGTTCGGGTGGCGGGGGGGCGGCGGGCGGGGCTTATCCCTTCACTGAAGGCAAACAGCATTTTGCCCAGTGCCAGGTGAAATCTATTTGCAAATGCATGTTCTGTCTCTAGGCTGTTAAAACGCTTTGTTAAAACACAAGCTGTAGCATTTGGGCTGCAGCTGGGAGCTTGGCAGAGGGTCCTCCCCGATGAGGTAAGGGGAGAAGCTGAGGACGCTGCTGGTTTGCAGCTGGAAACATCTTTCCATGGCTACTTGGCCAGGTTATAAATGAACTTTCCAAAGAGCAGGCTCGCTACAGGACCTCTGGTTGTATGTCTTGGAATCACCATGCTGAGAAATGGTGCCAGCCGCCTGGTGGGTGAATTACTGTCGCTGGGACATTGGCAGGTTTTGCAAGACCTCCCCATAGGGGTCCAGACACCGGGACTGCCAAAGCCCCTTTGGGGTTCAGTTGAGAAGGGCCTACTTTGTTTCCTTCACATATTAAGCATATTACAAAAATACGTACGTTTTAAATTCTAGTAGAATTTCTTGTAGAAAGATCAGGAAAACAAACATAAAAAAGAAAAATAAAATTGCTTCATGGAGATACGATTATAATCCTTTTATATATTTATACATACATCATTTTTTACCTTTCCAAAAAATGGAACATACCGTATGTGTTATTGAGGGCTGGCCTTTGCCAGTCTGCTTTGATCATTCCGTGTTGATGGCCATGGAGTGTTTATTGTTACACAGTGTATATTAATCTACTGTACAAAGTCTAAGCCCTTTAGTTGCAGTTTTTTTCATCTGAACAAATCTATGATGAAGAATACCTCATTGGATGCTTGCTACAGGACAGACATTATTCTAAACCCCGAGGTGCAGCTCATAAATCTCAACGCTTCTCATTTGGTGCCGTGTTTTCATAAAAGGGGATTTGGCCATGACCAACTCCTGTGTTGCTCTTCATGGATTTCTGAGGGCTCCTGGGAAGGCTTTTGGCAGCACTGGCCCTGGGCAGACACGGATTCCCACTTTCTCTGTCCTGGGTGAGTGCTGGGTGTAGCTATGAGACGGGAGCTGGCATTCTCCATGTTGTAGAGGGCAGTTACACTTGGGTAAATGCCTCCGCCCCACCTGACCCTGCTTGGGCGACCTTTTATACAAAGCCTTTTGACTTCAGGGACCCCGGGGTCAGAGAAATGAGCAGATGCCCCTGCTTAGAATGGCAGTGTTGATATGGCAGCCTGAGAGCTGCTTGGACCAGCAGGGTTTTCATACCTGTCTTCCCTTGCTGGAACAGGACATTGAGGGCTCTTGGTAAGTCACTTCCTGAAGCCTGTGTGTGACTCTCTGAGGCTGTGTCTCCAGGCCAGGATCTGTGGATGGGCTCATCTAAGCCAGGCGGCACATTCCAGAGAAATGACAGCCAGCATTCATGTACTAAAGAAACCGGGCTGCTTTCTCCCGGGGTCAGCTCGGTCGGTCGGGTCGCTGTAAGGTGTGAACCGTGGGTGGTATTCGAAAGAAATGAAAAGGCTTCCCCTTTCCCTGACCAGGCTGCCTGACTTCTGACTAGGTATGCACTGGAACTGGCCACACAGCTGGGAGAGGCATGGAGCCTCCACTTCATCCAGATCTGCTCTGGTCCTCCTGTCTGGCCCCTGCTCTCTTATCACCCCCGCTCTGAGGGGCAGTTGGCTGGCCCCTACCTCAGAGATCCTCCTGACTCTGAGATTCTCCTACATAGTTTTGGGCATTTGTGTTTCATTTATTTTCTTTGCTTTCTTTTTAGTAAATTTCCATCTGAGCCATGTCAGAGCCTTGGCTGAGTTGGAACAAGAAGAGGAGGGACAGGCTGAATAAGGGTTCAGTGGGGTGCGGGCCCTCCAACACGTTCTGGGCTGCATGGCTAGATGGGAGACATGTCTGCAGTCTCCACTGTGTGCTTAGGCCCGCTGCCAGGGAAGCTTGCCCCGGGTGGCTGCTGCGTCCCTCAGAACTGTCTCTATTTCTAGGCGGATGAGAAGGCAGGGCCTGGCCTCTTCTTACCCATGTTGGCAGCCCGGCCCCAGTGTTTTGGCTGTGTGTGACTGATTCACCTTTGTAGCCTGAGCGCCTAGCTCGGTGCCTGGAATGTCTGGGTTGTAAGTAAATATTTGTGAATGAGTAGGGAGTGGCCAGGGAAGGTGTCTGTCTAGATCCCCACTCCAGGAGGAGCCATGCCTGTTCAGAAGTGCCCCTCTGTGGCAGGTGCAGACTGGCAGAGGTCAGTTTTCCCCTTCTTCTGTTGACCATCTTCTATATACCCCAGCTTGGCTTGGCCCCCGGGCTGTATTGTCTCAGTTCTCTTGGCCATTGTCTGTTCTGTACTGTCACTTTCTTATGGACAGGACCCAGGTCCTTGAATTCTTCACCTTTATTGATATGTGGCAATAGGACTCTTGTGTCTGGGCCACCCTCAGTTCAAGTACAAAGGGAGGTCCCTGCCTGAGGCCCCTTTTCACATTCTGGATGGCCTCCATCACTGGTTTGGGGAGAGTAGATCTTGCAGAGTTGCTTCTTCCCCTATGAAACCCCGATGATTTGACGTCCTGGGAACCAACTCTTGGAATTGGATCCTCCTACATGCGGCTCTTGACACTATCCTGGCGTATGTATTAGAAAGTCAGACAGACAGACAGGCAGGAAGCCAGGTGTACACACTTGTAATCTTAGCAATCGGAAGGCTGAGGCAGGAAGGTTGTGAGTTCTAGGCTATCTTGGTGTCTATCCATACATAGTGAGACTTTATCTCTAAAAAGGAAAACAAAATAAAACAGAACCCAGGTAGGAGCCAGAATTGAGCACGTGTCCCTGGTTCCATGTTGTGGCCCCTCCCCTGGGCGATCTTGAATGCCTTATTTAGTGACATATTTGAGGGTGTGTGTGTGTGTGTGTGTGTGTGTGTGTGTGTGTGTGTGTGTGTGCATAGCATGTATGGATGTGTCTTCTCACATAAATTGTCCCCACCCCACTACAGGGTCCTGCTGTGTAGCTCAGGTGGCCTTGAACTTTGTTCCTGCTAATCCAGTCTCTTCAGTGCTGAATTTACAGGCATGCTCCACCCATGTCCAACTGAAGGTGCTCTTTCCACGGTGTCCATCTGATGACTGTTCTGAATGTCTTGCAGATACTGCCCTTTCCGATCATGAAGCTCCAGGTATTGGTGTTGCTGATGTCCTGGTTTGGTGTCCTGAGCTGGGTGCAGGCAGAATTCTTCACCTCTATTGGTATGTGGCACCAGAACTCCGGTTCACCTAAGCGGCTCTCAGCTGAGTCAAGGGGATGTCACTGCCTGAGGCTCGTTCAGGGTTCAGTCACTGATTGTGGCCAGTCCAGGGAAAGTGGAACTTAGGAAGGTTCTCCTCCCCCAGACCCCCACGAGATCCTGATGAACATAACGCATGTCTTGGGAGGCAGCTTTCTGAATTGGACCCTCCTCTCTGAAAGTGCAGACTGCAAGTAGCTTTCAGGGCTTTTTTGGTCCCTGGCAAGAGGGTGGTCTAAGCCGCAGACATTCTCTGTTCCAAGGACCAGAGTCTCCCCTTCTCAACTGAAAGTAGAGAGCTGATTTCCGTTTGATGAACCCTTAGGATGTCCATTCCCCCTATGACAGGACATCCAGGTGACAGAACTCCTCATTCCGTAGTCCCCAGTGCATTTCACTTTGCCCAGGCGTCCTCTTGACACCTCAGCATCTGTCTTCCTGAGGTTGGGGGTCATGGCCATGCGAGTGACTAGGTACCTTTAACTCCTAGTCCCCGGGATTCCTGGTTTACTGACATGCCCTTGGCTGGGGTTATTCACTTCTGGTATTTTGGGCAGGCCATTCCTCGTCCATTTCTCACTGGCCCTTGCTTCTCTCTTGTAGGGCACATGACTGACCTGATTTACGCAGAGAAGGACCTCGTGCAGTCTCTGAAGGAGTACATCCTTGTGGAGGAAGCCAAGCTCTCCAAGATTAAGAGGTGCCCAGTGTCCTGAGACCCCACACTAGGTCATCCCTACTGCTCAGCTTCCCAAGCCCATCCCTGTATCTGTAAGAGGAAGTCATTGAGGGGTGACCCAGGGGAGCTGACCTGCAGTTAACTTGTGCTAGTCCTCAGAGTTGCTGAGTATACGGGTTAAGAAGCAACCGCTGTTTTCCTTTCTACTTAACACACTTTAATTTACATTGGAGTTCCCAGCTCTTGCCTAGATTAAGGGCTAAGGGTATCTAGGAAGTTACTATATTCACATTTTATTATCTCTTGATGAAAGAACTCTGGACCCCACCAGGGAAATTACCAGCCTGTGTGGGTGGGTGTGGCAGTCTTTCTTCCCCTTTGGTTCTACAGCTGGGCCAGCAAGATGGAAGCTCTGACCAGCAAGTCAGCTGCCGACCCTGAGGGCTACCTGGCTCATCCTGTGAATGCCTATAAGCTGGTGAAGCGGTTGAACACAGACTGGCCTGCACTGGGGGACCTGGTCCTGCAGGACTCGGCTGCCGGTGAGGGGCAGTGAACGGGGATCGGCTGTGTCTGTGTGCCTGTCTGCTTCTGCCTGGTGCTGTCCTTGTTGGTTGGTTTTTAAAATGTTGTAACAATCATTTCCTGTTCTTTTGTAATGTTTCCTGGTAATGACATTTTCTAATTATGCTTCATTTTCTAAATATACTTTTGACAACACACTTCGGGAACACAAACTTTATCACATAGAAATCATGATGCTTAATCCAATTGCTCCAAGATACGCACCATTATGATTGTAATCTTGGGGGATGGAGAGATCACGCAGGGGTTAAGAGCACTGGCTGCTCTTGCAGAAGAAGCACGTTTGGTCCCCAGTATCTGTATAATGGTTCACAACCATCTGTATTTACAGTCCCAGATAATCTGACACCCTCTTCTGACCTCTGCAGGCACCAGGTGCACCTGACACACAGATATACATGCAGACAAAATACTCATTCGTACACATAAAATAAGCTTGAAAGAATATTTAAGAAACCCTGTAATCTTGGGCTGGTGAGATGTCTCAGGGGGGAAAGCCCTCACCATGCCAGTGTGAGGACTGAAGTTTGGATCCCCAGGCAAGTGTGTCTGGAGGCAGAGATTTCCCCTGGGCAAGCTGGCTAGCTAGACTAGTTGATCAGTGAGCTCTGGGGTCAGCTGGAGACCTGCCTCAGTGAGTTAGTAGAGGGTGATTGAAGAAGGCACAGGACTTCAAATTCAAGCCTCCACACACATCCAGTGCATACGTGTGCACCCTCCCGCGTGAGGTCATGCATACACATACATTTACAAACACCACACATGCATACATACACCAGAAAGAATGAACCTGCTTATGTGTGAGTCAAGCGCGCTGAGTGTCGGGGCTGAGGCCAGCTGGGGAAGTGGAGGCTTCGTCTGAATTCTTTCCTGTGTATGTCTTTTACCACATGTGTGGGTTCAACATAAACGTGTGCCCAGTCCTGGCTTTCCCAGCTTCTGCAGATGCCATTAAGCTGTGGCATGATTGTAATGGCTGGATAGTCGTCTGTCACAGCGATACTCAGCAAGCCTGGTCAACTCACTGTCCCTGGGTTGTTTCCAAATTTTCAGCCCTTCCTTACATGCATTTTGGTGTCTGCCTCCGATTATTTTTCTAAGTTAAATTCCTAGAAATGGTATTTGCAGGGCAGAACACGGATTTGCTAAGGGCTCTTTCTAGTGTAGTGCTTTCTCTGTGTGAACACGTTCCTGTTATCCAGAGGAGAGGATCTTGGTAATGGAAGGGTGGGCTGGAGGTGGGCCACGGGATTCCCAGCCTCAAGCTGGGCCTCCTCTCTGAGCTGGGAGTGCTGATTAGCTTCAGACTAGCTGTCTCTCTGGCTGAGACTGGTTACAGCCACGTGACCCACTGGGGTTGGGCTTGGCTGGGGGCTGGGTAGTCTCCGGGGAGGGTTTGGTGAGCTCAGCCCGGCTGGAGCTGTGCCTGTCAGCTCACCGCCTCCAGAAGCCACTGCCTTTCCCAGACTCTCCCCCCCCCCCCCCTTTCCTGGGCTGGGCCTGCTGCTCAGAACAGCTCAGAACAGGCTGTTCCTCCTGCTTGCTGGAGAGGTAGGCGAGGAAGCCTGTCCTGATGCACATGATTTGCTGTCTGATCTTGTCCCCGAACAACCGCCCGTTAATATCTGGAAGCTATGATTACCTGGAAGGTGATGGGACAGGCCCAGAGAGCAGTCATTTCTGTTTGTCTCTAATGTTTGGATGCTTGCCCCTGAACTAAGAGGGAACCCTGACAGTACAGAGTGGCTGTTTCTGGAGGGCTTGCCTTCTTTTTCATGGATGCTAACGTCTTCAGAGTTCCTGACCATAGAGCTGGGAAGAAGATAATGTAGCAGCTTGTTGATCCCTGGACCCCAGCTTGCCGTGATGAGAAGAGGTGGCAGCGAGTGTAACACTCTTGGAAAGGGGCCAGGGCCGGGCCGGAATGCGTCCGAGTTCCTCTTCCAGTCCTCAGTTCTTAGCAGATACAAAGGCCTGAATCATTAGCATGGCAAGGCCCGGAGTCCTGGAATATAGGGAGTTGTGGCTCTGGCTTGTGGCTCTGGCAAAGCCACCTGGGGCCACTTCAGTGGTCAAATCTGTCTAGGCTCTGGGCTATGGTCTTGGTGCCACAAGCACATACCCCAACTCCAGACTCTTAAGTGCTAAGCTGTGTGCCGAGCCTTTACGCTCCAAATGAACAGTACAGGGAAGGCTAAGAAAGAAGTTCTGTCGAGGAGCCCCCAGGAGGGCCTCCTGAAGGAGGAGGCAGCTTTGTTGTTCTTACTATTATTTTGGTGCGGGCTCCCCAGGACATGCCAGGCAGGTGTTCCATCGCTGAGCCTACAGCCCGCCAACAGCCTTTGAGGGAAGGGACAGGGAAATCCCGTTAGCTAAGAGACCTTCTAGTGACTGCCTCTGGTCCCAGGTAGAATGCTATCCCCTGGATTAAGAGTGACCTCTCTTCTCACTGTCACTTGGAAGGTTTCGTCGCCAATCTCTCAGTCCAGCGGCAATTCTTCCCCACTGATGAGGACGAGTCTGGAGCTGCCAGAGCGCTGATGAGACTTCAGGACACGTACAAACTGGACCCAGACACGATTTCTAGAGGGGAACTTCCAGGTAATGCACCTTCGTTTACTTACGTCTCTTCAGTGTCTGGACAGGTCAGATGGACTTAGGCACTGTTGGTGTTGGTGTCGGTTTTGGGGTTCCCATTGGATGCCAGTCTCCCATGTGTCAACCCCTACCTCAATGTCTTGATTCAGCTACTAGCCAAGACTTCTCCTCTGGTGTTAGAGAAGGAGGCTGTGGATCAGGAGTCTCCCTCAGCATCCACTCCCGGAAAATTGCCCATCTGCTGGCAGACCTGCTTCCATGCCCAGCCTCTTGTTGCTTTCTGCCCAAGGCTGGTCTGGGGACTCGCTGCTTCTGTCCTACGTCCCCCTAGTCAGTCTCTCCCCTTCCATTCTGTCCTTGCCTCTCTGCGCTCTCTCTCTGAGTTCACGTATAGCCCCACCTGTTTCCCCATTTCCAGTTTATGTCCCCCTTCCCCTGCATGATCCCCCCTCTCGGTTTCACATGAAGGCTCTGTAGCCCCCCATCTCTCATACTTCTTTAGATCCAATGCTCCTTTGAGTCCATTTTGTCATTCCTGCTGAGGCTGCTGGGTAGTGATTTATTTTCTCTGCCTCCCTCCCGTTCTCACGTACTCCTGACCCCACAGTGCCTTTGTGTCTCTCCTCTGTGATCCTGTTCTTCAAAGTCACCAAGAGCACAGGGCCAGTGAAGCCAGCAGGCAGGTTACCAGCAAACACCCTCTAACTTCGGAGTAGCGTCTGGTTCAGATGGTTTCTTTCTGTCTGATGTCCTGGATTCTGGGGTGCCGATCTCTGCTTTTTCTCTTTTCACATGTGTCTGGCCATTCATTCCTCTTTTTTTTTTTTTTTTTTTTTTTTTTTTTTTTTTTTTTTTTAATTGGCCTTTTCCCTGCTTGCTGCCTAGTGCTAGTGATTATAAACTTACAGGGTTTAGGGGTTATTTGAGACCAATAAATCCAAGAATTCAGTTGGGCCTCATCATAATTTAAATACCTCCTCCCTTCTTTGGAGCTAGGGAAGATGCAGCAGAGAGAGAGCCAGGTGATGCAGGGGCTGTCTTCCTCCTTGGATGCCCTGTGGCTGGCTACTCAAGGCCAGGGTCTTGGTGTGGAGGACTGTGCTGAGCTGGCAGGGGGAGGAGGGTTCTCTCCATTCCTGCTTCAGTCAGGTGTTGGGCCAAACCCGACCATGAGGCAGAGTGAGAAGGTAATTCTGGGAAGCTTTTGACCTTGTAGCTGTGAGGCGTGGCTGGTGGGAGAAGGGTGCTGTCTCCTGACAGCCTCCTTCCACAGTTAACAGGCCCCTGAGTGTCCTGAGTGGGGGCAGAGGGCAAAGGGAGTTACTCTCCAGAGCTCCACCCCCTGTTGGCTCTGAGCCCCTCCCCCAGGTGGGCCCCTCCCCCAGGTGAGCCCCTCTCCAGGTGAGCCCCTCCCCAGGTGAGCTCCTCCCCAGGTGAGCTCCTCCCCAGGTGAGCTCCTCCCCAGGTGAGCTCCTCCCCAGGTGAGCCCCTCCCCCAGGTGAGCCCCTCCCCAGGTGAGCCCCTCCCCAGGTGAGCCCCTCCCCCAGGTGAGCCCCTCCCCAGGTGGTCCCCTCCCCCAGGTGAGCCCCTCCCCAGGTGGTCCCCTCCCCCAGGTGAGCTCCTCCCCAGGTGAGCTCCTCCCCCGGGTGAGCCTCTCCCCAGGTGAGTCCCTCCCCAGGTGAGCCTCTCCCCAGGTGAGCCTCTCCCCAGGTTAGCCCCTCCCCCAGGTGAGCCCCTCCCCCAGGTGGGCCCCTCTCCAGGTGAGCCCTCCCCCAGGTGAGCCCCTCCCCCAGGTGAGCCCCTCTCCAGGTGGGCCCCTCCCCCAGGTGAGCCGCTCCCCAGGTGAGCTGCGCTGTTTTCATCACTTGGTGTGTTGCCCTATGTGGATGACATGCAGACCTGTGTTTCTAGTCAAGGCGTGTCTCTGGGCTTCCAACCAGGGTAGGACAGTGCCTGGAGACACCTCTACTTGGACATTCTGTGGATTGCACAAACTTCATTCAATGTGTGCCAAGTTGAAATTCCCATCTGGTTTTGAACTGGTTGCCCTCTGTCTTCGCCTGTTATCTTAGCAAAAAGCACCTCTGCCCATTGGCAGCCTGAGCCATAACCTTAAAGTCTATGGATTCTGTCTCTCTAATGCCCTCTGACCTTCCATATCTCCAACAAACTTAGGATAATTTTCTGTGTGCTCCTAAGCACACATGTATCCATTTGAGTTCAATGCTTAGCTTTCAGAAGTGACCCCGAAGTCTGCCTATAAGTGATGGTCTGTGAGCTACCACTGCCTCGGTGGGACATTGTTCCCAGCATCTCTCAGCTCTCTTACCCTTACCCGTGTGGATCCTCCCTGTCCCATAGTCCTTGAGTGCTCAGCTTAGCTGTCACTGTTGATGGAGCAGGCACTTGAGTTTCCTTCTGAGGAGGGTGCCGAGTTCTGGAAGTCATTCTTCACATTCTTGGCGTTCACAGGACATGTTGATTGTAGCCGCTGGTCTTTCACATCCCGGGGCAGCATCTTCATATGTCATCTCGTTGAATTTTTGGCACTAGTCCCTTAAAACTGATGCTGGTGTCTCTATTTAGAGAGATTTGGGTAGATATTGTATTTATTTAGGTAGGGGACTGAATCTGAGGTGGGGTAACTTGTCCAGAGTCGCACAACTGCTAAGTATGCAGCAAGGTCCACATAGACCAGGCTTGGTCCAGGCCCAGGGCACAGCTTGCTTATCTTTGTTACACAGGCTGTTGTGATAGGCTCCTGGGTCCACGGAGTCAGTGGAGACCCTTGGAGACCGGTGGAGAAAGGAAAGTTCCCATAAGGCCCCTAATGCTTGGCCCGCCTATGACTCCTCCTTGTGTTTACTTTCCTGACATTCTATCCTGGTTGTCAGATTCTGGGTCACCAGGATGAACAGACCGTGGTCTCTGCAGCAGCTGTCGTCCTGCAGCGGGGTTCCCTCCTGGGGAGAGGCCCATGGTGGCCCTCAGGCCAAGAGAATGATGCACAAGTAGTTCTAGCATGCCATCCACACCCGATAGCTGTTAGTAGGGAGCTGCGTGTGGCTGCAGGGAGGTCCTAGCCCTCCTCATTCTGTGGGATCTGCTTTCTCATTATTCGAGGAGGAACACGTCGTCTTTGCCATCCCAAGCCTGGCTGAAGCTCTGCATCTCCCTAAAGCTGCTGCTGTTCCTCAGGTTGAAACCGTCTTCATGATCACTTTCCACAACAAATGTCCCATTAGACATGAGGCCTGCTGAGCTGATGCTCCAATGTCCCTGCTGGATTGTAGCCTTGGTTCTTTGTCGCCATTGGTATCCGTCACCTGTTCTATTACCTGTATCCTCTTAGTACCTTCTCATGTCACTGCATATATGTTCCCTTGAGGTCTAACCTCAGACCTTCTCTGTCCTTGCCTTTTTCAGACTCTTCTACATGTGACTGCCCTTGTCCATGGCTTTCATGTCACCTGAATTCCGTTCTTAAATTCACCTACATTTTCTGCTCTTCAGACTTCCATGGCCAGCTGCCCTCCACGCATCTTCTCCTGTTTTGACCCACAGGACCTATATCCACTGATCTCAGGGCCATGTCTTGGTGGGATTCCTGAACTGCCTGTCACAAAGCCCCTTCCCACTCGAGAGAAGGAGTCTGAGGCTTAGAGATTGACTCTGAACTCTAACCTAAGCTAAACCAACCTCTTTATGCTCATTGCATTGATGGCATTTCATGGTGTGTGGCCTGAAGTCTGGGTGGGATTTTGCTTGGGTAGTGGCCCAAGCATTTCTCCCAAGTGCGCATCTTCCGTCTTAACCCAGAGGCATTTCAGAGCCTGACGGTTGCTTTTCCTGCTACAGGAACCAAGTACCAGGCCATGCTGAGTGTGGATGACTGCTTTGGGATGGGCCGCTCAGCCTACAATGAAGGAGACTATTATCACACGGTGCTGTGGATGGAGCAGGTGCTGAAGCAGCTAGATGCTGGGGAGGAGGCTACCATAACAAAATCCCTGGTGCTGGACTACCTGAGCTATGCCGTCTTCCAGCTGGGTGACCTGCACCGTGCTGTGGAGCTCACCCGCCGCCTGCTGTCTCTTGGTAAGGAGGTTAGGGACCAGACCTAGCAAAGGAACTTGACCCTTCTGGCCACATTGCTCCATCATCTCTTGGAACTGAATCAGTTTGATTGTCACCTGGGCAGTGATGAGTGTCTCAGTGATTTCAACCGCCTTTCCAACTGCTGACTAGCTCCTCCCCACAGTCTTGATGTTAGGCCAATGCCCAACGGGTGATGGCTATTCAAAGGCCTGTGACATCCTTGTGTGTATATATGTGTGTTGCACATGCATGCGCATGGGCACGTGTGTGCAAGTGCATGTGCAACATGCATGCACACAGTGGCACTTTTAAAAATAAGGACCTAGTATTGTGGTGCTTGTACCGTTATGCAGGGTAGACCCTTCGCTGTAAAAATACAGATGGAGAAGCAAGCCATACTTCTGGATTGCTGATGTGACAGTAATTCTGGCTATTAGTGGCCTGGGGTCAAAAGTGGGACTTAGCATGCCATCTGTACTCTGTCTGTCTTGTGATGTGGGACAGACCAAGGCTCCACGCACTCGTTAAAGCCTGTTAATTGCACCTTTTCCTAATATGTGGGAATGTTGTCTGGAGTTTCACAGGGCAGTGAAGACTTGACTTTACCAGTGCTTTCCAGGGGGCCTGCCTGTGAGGTCAGCTAGCATTTGAGCATCCTGCAAGGCCAACGTAGGTAGAGAGTCTTGTAGAATCTGTCACGAGAGTTAATAAGAGCCCTGGACAGGGAGTCAGGGCCCCCCCGACTCTTCTGTGTGGGTTCATCTTAAGTCACTGAACATCTTTGAGACTCAGTTTCGTTATCTGGGGAGTGATGTAGAAATCCTGCCATGGCTGTGGCTTCAGATACTGTGTTGTCCGCCAGAGCTGTGACTCTTCTATTTTTAAATAAAACTTTATTACATTTATTATTTATTCATTCATTCATTCATTTATTGTGTATGTGGGTGAATGTAAAGTGCCACAGTGGTCGGGGGCCAACTCTAGGGAGTCAATTCTCTCCTTTTACACCATGTGGATCCTGGGTATTGAACTCAGGTTGCCAGGCTTGGTAGTAAGCACCTTTACCTGCTGAGCCATCTGGCCTGCCTTGTGGCCCTCCTTTTTTTTTTTTAAACCAGTATCTCAGCTTGTCTCCTATTTGTAGCCAGTGTGTGATGTGATCCCTAGACCCGGCTGCACTCTGGGGAATGGCTTCATGTAGCTACAGCCAATCACAAGGAGGAGGCAGAACTCCCGGAGATCTCCTGGAGGTCCCCGCAAGTTCTGAGTTCTGTCTAAACCCCTAGTTACTAGCTAAATGTGCTCCGCTTTAATGACACGTCTCCCTCATCCCTGGACAAGATGAAAGGGCCTCTGTTGGCTTTTCAGCTCTGGCTGGCACACCCTGGTGAGGTGGTGCAGCCAGCAGAGAGGAGCCTACCAATGGGCTGCCGGGCGAGGGACGGCACACAGAGCGGCTTCTGTAAGTGACCTAACAGATGTTTGTGGTTTCCTCGTCCCCTCACGTTTCGTTTTTTCTAGACCCGAGCCATGAACGAGCTGGAGGGAATCTGCGGTACTTTGAGCGGCTGTTGGAGGAAGAAAGAGAAAAACCGTTGTTCAATCAGACGGAAGCTGGACTAGCAGCCCAGGAAAACCTGTACGAGAGGCCTGTGGACTACCTCCCCGAGAGGGACGTGTATGAGAGCCTGTGTCGTGGGGAGGGCATCAAACTGGTGAGACCTGGGAAGGGGCCGGTGGCGGCCTGGCTGGGGATCTGAGTGCTGGCTCTGGGGAGGCAGCATGGGAGGTTCCACGGCCTATTTGCACTTTTCTCAGCATCTGCTGAGGCTGATAGGTGGGTGTTCTCTGATGCATAGGACAGAAGATTGTCTCCATGGGTGCTCCAGGGAGAATTCCTATGCTCCAGGGCATTCCTGTACTCCCCACCCAGTGTGCCTACCTATCATTTGACTGATTGGTTTGAGGAAAATGATGGGTGTAGATATGTCTCAGGTCTCCAGGGAAGTCATGGTGTAAATGACAAATGAGACCCATGGTAAGAAAAGGCAACACTTACTGGGGCTTTTGAGAGCCCTAGGGTTCCGCTGGTCCTCACAGCTCAGTATGGCGGAGGTGCTCACCTTTCCTCTGCCTCTGATTGGCTTCCAGTTGTTTTCTGTCTGGAAAGGCTTCTCCCCATCCACAGTGCTTCAGGGTTAATCAAATCTCCATGAAAAGGGTCAGGAAGTGCCCTCCGCCACAGCAATTGTGGAAATGAGGTGCTTTTTGGAGAGAAGGGGAGCTGCATGGTTTGTGTGAGGTCACTTCCTGCTCTGGTTTTCTTCTGTGGTGAGGCTGAGGACAGCCTTGGCCATGGAGGGTGAAACCAGTGTGCGCAGACAGCTGGCTGGAACTGAGGGTAAGGTCACTGTGCTCAGGCCTATGCTCTCTGCTCCCTAGACGCCCCAGAGGCAGAAGAAGCTCTTCTGTAGGTACCATCATGGTAACCGGGTGCCACAGCTCCTCATCGCCCCCTTCAAAGAGGAAGATGAGTGGGACAGCCCGCACATCGTCAGATACTATGATGTGATGTCGGATGAAGAAATCGAGAGGATCAAGGAAATCGCGAAGCCCAAAGTAGGTGTCTCTGTGGGTCCTGCTGGGGCACTGTGTGAAGTGGGGTGCAGTCCCTCCTTCTGCCTCTGTGGGGCAGCTTGTCTGTGCACCAGTTCAGTCTCACAAATAGTGAGTGTGAGTACATTGACGTGCTATGGACTTTGGCTGACATTGTAGGTTTATGACCTAGGAGAGAAGAAAAAGTAGGGACCCAGGATGGATAGACAAGAAGATGAATGATAGCAGGTCATGCTGGGAGCAAGCTCAGTGACAAATGCCATTTCACCTGGTTGAAGGGCTAGTGTGTGGATTGTTTTTAAGGAAATGCATGGTCTCAAAAAAGTGGAATCCGTGGAGCTCCTGATCAGGACTGCAGTGAAGGAGGAGGGCTGCAGTGAGTTTGGGGGCTGCAGTGAGGGGTGGGGGCTGCAGTGAGGGAGGAGGGCTGCAGTGAGGGAGGATTGCAGTGAGGGTGGGGGCTGCAGTGAGGGTGGGGTCTGCAGTGAGGGGACTGCAGTGAGGGAGGAGGACTGCAGTGAGGGAGGATTGCAGTGAGGGAGGAGGACTGCAGTGAGGGGTGAGGGCTGCAGTGAGGGAGGAGGGCTGCAGTGAGGGAGGAGGACTGCAGTGAGGGTGAGGGCTGCAGTGAGGGTGAGGGCTGCAGTGAGGGTGAGGACTGCAGTGAGGGGTGAGGGCTGCAGTGAGGGAGGAGGGCTGCAGTGAGGGTGAG